CTATTTTGCAAAAATGGGTGCTATTTTAAGAAATCTCCGAAAGAAAGAAAGAAAGAAAGAAAGAAAGAAAGAAAGAAAGAAAGAAAGAAAGAAAGAAAGAAAGAACAAAACAGAGACTGAATGTTTACTTTAAAAATGTAGAAGAATTTGCCAAAAGATCATTTTGATGTCATGAGTGCCTCTAGAAAATGAAGTTTATATTGTACAGAAAGTGGTAATATACTGAGTTTTTTTGAAACTCAATTACTATATTCTGTAAAGAATACCAGTATAATTATGCTTAGTCTTAACTATTAAATTTATAACAAATAAAATATATTTTTAAGCACCTTGTATGTTTTGGTAATATAACTTTAGTTTTAATTTTTAGATGACTGTGACCTATGAGTATAAAGTATAAAGTATGACTAATCCTGTTTTGTTTTGTTTTTTAGAATTTCTTGCATGTGAAATTTAGATATTAGCCTCATCATCAATTCTGAGAAAGCATAAAAAATCTTAAAGTCTAGTAACCCATACTAAAATGTGTAAAAAAAGTAGTTGTATCTTTCAAATAATTCTAATGATATTTTAATGAGTATAAATTATGCAGAGAACAAACATGTATTGCAATTAGCCTTTCATAATAATAAAAGAAAAATTCATGTTACATGATGATAATGGGCTTATATTCATAAAGTGAAATCTTTGAAATTAATATATTCCCTCAATTTTTCTGTAAAAAAATAAAACAAAATATATAAAGGTTTTTATATCTTGTTCCATTGTAGCTTGTCTTTCCATTTTTTAAAATTACTTATTTTAATAACTTAAAAAGCATGAAAATTTTTATTATGGTTTATTCATTGTGGTCATTAATTTCTAGCACAATTGCTAAAATAACTGAGAATATCTTATATTTGAAGTGAAAGTTACTTAAATTTAAGGTGACATGGAGATATTTTATTCAATATCTTCTGTAATCAAAGTATCAAATTCAGAGATGATTAAAATTATTATATCTTAAACTCCACAAATTTTGATGTTATTCTATGATACATATTAATTTACTTATATATTATGAGTTTATAAATAGTGTTTAAAGCAATCCTACAGAAAATATTTAATCTACATAAACAATTATAAATGATATACTAATTTTTTCTCACATACCCAATACATTTAGAAAAGAAATCCACAAAAATACAACTAAACTGTAGAGAATTAAATATTAGTATATATTAACAATGCTTAGTTTTATAATAAACAAAACCAGAATTAATATTTTGTTAAAGTTTACTACTTCAACTAAAAACCTTTTCCCCAAAACCCTTTCAATCAATCAGTTTTGCTAAGGAATAATTATTTATATATTAATCTAAGCTAATCATTATACCTTTTACTTATTTATCATTTCAAAAAGTTTACAATGTTTCACATACATAATAAAAAATTCAGCCTATTAAATCATGTTATACATAATGACAATTTAAACCCTAAAACACATAAGCTAGAGCTAAACTATTCAACAAAACATGGTAGATTAAAAAAGATATTTTAAATACCAGATATTTCTGATTTTACACTTGATTCTATGTACTACAATTTTATTTCATGAAATTTTCAAGAACTTAGCATTTGCTTAAAATAAATATAATCAGATGTTTCTTTAGAAGCAGAGTCTCAAAAATATAGACTTAAAATTCTATAATAATAAACAACATGATGGAAATCCAATATTAAAAAACTAGGAAGGTAGATTTTTATAGTTTCTAAATAGATTTAGGAGTATTGTACCAATGGTTCTATTGAAAAACATTGAAATATTAAGAGATACCAATGGCTATCCAAGACGTCAGGTCCTAAAATAAATAAGAACTATTTTATGCTATATCTATACGTGGCATATTAACCTGTCATTGTATCATGACTGAAAAAATTCTTACTTCTTGTGTTAACTGAAATTATCATGGACATTTGTTTAATTTCATAGAAAAGATGAACCATTACCTTAGTGAAAGACGTAAGTAACATCATAAGTAATGAATTTATATATATTAGTTACTTTTGAAGAAAACTCTGAGTTTATATTTTACATATGTGTTTTAAGGATAATTAAATGATATTAGGGGGTACAAATATTTGGGCCTTAAAATCAAACATATTTCATATTCAAATGACATTTTATTTAGTAGATGAACTTTCTGGGTGAAACCATCTTTTAGATTGAACTTTCTGCTATATCATCTTTGTTCACTGAGACAACACGGATAGCTGAGTACAGCATTATTTTAGGGGATAGACCAGTGGACTTGGAGCATCTAGAGATAAGCATTAGTATACCACCAGCCATTTGTGCTGAGACAGGTAGACTTATAGGAAGAAAGTCCAAGTCCTTTGATTATCTCTTGTGATTAAATTTGCTAAAATATCTAAATGAAGAAAAAAAAATTTAATGAGGACCAACTATTCGTTCCTCACGGTAGGTAGTCTCCAAAACCCTCTCTGGTCTTCAGCTTGGGAGACCAGACACTTGATAACAGAGCAGCTGACATCGAGGGGGCACCAGCACTGAGTGGACATCAGAATCTCCTTAAAGAATCCCTTGAGATATCACTGAGGTTCTGTGATTTCCTCTGTCCTCCTGAGGCTATCAGTAACCCTAACATAAGTTTGAGCCTGCATTTCTTCAAAAGATTCTGTGGCAAGCTATAGTTGCCTTCATGTGGACATTAGCTGACTATGAGCTGTCATTTACAGGAAAGGATAGAGAGAGGAAGATATTGGTACAATCCAATGTCAATTCATTTTTACTGGCCAAAGCAGAGGAACAATTAATAAGCACTGTCCTGGGGCACAAACACAAAGAGTCCATTCCTAACAGAGTAACCTACAAGGAGAATGATCGCACTCTGCCTGCTAACAATGCATCTCAGGACTCACCAGAACAACCAGTTTCTCTAGGAAATATTCCCTGATCGCTGTCCCCTACTGCTGCATCAGGGGTTCCTCCTATATACAACTGTAAACTTAATCAAATTAGACCTGCAGCAACACTACTGGAACGATGTAGTTACATTTTATCTTGAACACTAGAAGGTAAGGTTCTAGCAAACAGAGACCGTGATTATTTTATTTTTACGTATCCAGGACCCATTGCTTAGCATGTTGTAAGTGCTCAGTAAATACTTGTTGAATGGAAATTAATTGAAAAAGATATGTGTAGAGAGCACCGGGAAGGTACATGGGCATTTCTTTAATTATTGTCAGCCGAATCCAATGGCCATTGGTAAAACCACGATCTGGAAACACGCTTTGCCAAATGGCAGCAGTGTTGTCAGCTTGACCTTCAGCCCAGGTGTCAGGGGATAGGTTTTGTTCTTTAAATCTAGCCAAGCACCAGGAATAAATATGACCCAGGCTCACCCAAGAATACACATAACCTCCTTTGTCTTGACTTTTAGTAAAACTTCCTGTTGTTGTTTTTTGTTTTGTTTTTGTTTTTCTGTATAAAATAAACACACTGTATTGGCTTGGGGTCACTGTTCTTTCCCCTGTCCATGTCAGAGGACAGTGGTCCCACCAGGCCGCAGCTTTTTCCTTCCACCTCTGTGTCTGTCACTTTCATTTTCTTAATCCCCAGCAGCCCCAACTCAGGAACTGAATTGCTCTCTAGCCATGCTGGACGCAGAAAAGAGAGAAATATTTACAGGTATGACCACCACACCTCGCACATCTGCCACAGTAATTATTTGGAGGTGGGGAAGAGAAGATTCCTTAAGAAGCATGGAGGGGCTTAATTGTTCTTTTTTAAAAGAGAGAGAGAAAGAAGAGAGAAAATAGAAAATAGAAGAGAGGAGAGAGAGAGAGAGAGAGAGAGAGAGAGAGAGAGAGAGAGAGAGAGAGAGAGAGAGAGAGAGAGAGAGAGAGAAGTCCACAATAGCTTGAGGTGAAAATACCTTGATATAGTCTCCTCAATGCTAGAATAAATGCAGGTATTATAACATCAGAAAACATCAGTGAATCTGCAATCATTGACTAAATAATACATCTGTAGGCTAATGAAAAGAAACCTACATAATTTATCATAATGATCGTGTTTTACTGTTATAAGTACTTAAAACCAAAGAATCCGGTATAAGAAAAAAGATTAAATATATGCACATTTCTGGGACTTTATATTTTAGGTGTTAAACTTATTTAAAGTTTTCAAATGACTAGACTACTTATTCTCTTAGTAATATATTGTTACAAAATATTTTAATTTGCTCTAATTATTTGGAATAGAATAATTGATATCACTGAAACAAAAAAGTTGTTTTATATGTGGGTCAGTTTCTCTGAAATAAAAGTTCATTCCTTCTTTTGAAAAAATGGTTTTCCAAAGGGAAGTTCAAGATTTTAAAGTTACTACAAAAGTCCTATTTCTGAGGACACAAAAACATGCATTTACTTCAACAGACATAAAAGTATTTCTTACATATACAACATTAATAAGGTTTTTATGAAAGTAATGGGCCTGTGAAAAAAATTAAAAACTAAAATGTCTACATTTCAACTTTTCTGTCATTTATGGAAGATATTAAGCATGTTTTTACTGTCTGCCTCTTTAAATTTAATCTATTTTTATGAAACATTCTTAAATAACAGGGGGACATGGGACGAGGATTAAAATATGTACTTTGGATACATTTTATAGACAAAAATGTGATCAAGGCAATTATAAGCAGAAAATAAAGCAAACAGAACTGAGTATCACAATTGCACACAGAAGAAAGCTTAATTAAAGAGTCAGAAGGCTGGCTATATAAAACACAAAATACAGTCTACTAGTTCGCATGCTTAGATGATTTCAACTTAGCTCTTAGATGCAACTTCATAAAAGTCTAATGTAAATAGAATGTGTGTTAAGCTCTTTCCCCTAAGACAAAACTATTCAAGACTCTTAAAGTCTCTTAGTCACCATACATTTACAACGCCAAAGAAGAAGGAAAAGAGAAATGATTAATTTTTAAAATTACCCAGCAATTCCATTGCATCATCTTCATTATCAATATCTTCTTCTGTTACCGGTGGGGTAGGGCTGTGAACAGACTCAAAAGAATCCTGGGAGAGCATTGCCGCCAGCAGTTTCTTGTGTTGCTGCTGCTGTTGCTTTAGTCCCTTAGTCTTGGGTTCCACCTTTAAGCTGAAGAAACATGTAAGCGTTAACTTTCAACGACGATGACATGATGCACTAGCTGTGGTGAGTGGAGAAAATCGACAATCACATTTCATTCCATGATCTTGCCATGCAAATGTATGGACATTTCATTAAAATGTTCCCCAAGGATAAGAAAAATACAGAGCCTGTCTTCTTTCTTAAGACATCCTTTGGTACCTCATTTCTCACGTTTTCATTTTCATAAGAATCAAGCTCACATTTTTTTTGGCGGATTGTGCCTTTGGTGTTATTTCTAAAAATTCACTGCCACACCTGAGATCATATAGGTTATCTCCTGTTATCTTATATAAGATTTATAGTTGTACATTTACGTCTATGATCCATTTAGAATTAAATTTTGTGAGGCCTCTGTCTAGACTTGTTTCTTTTTCTCTTTTTTTTTATTTTTTTTTATTTTTTTACATGTGGATGTGCAGTTGTTCCACAACCATTTTTAGAAAAGGCTATCTTTGCTCCATTGGTTTGCTTTGGCCCCTTTGTTAAAGATTAGTTTACTATATTTATGGACTATAAGGCCTCTCTTTTCTGTTCTATTCTCTAATCTTTTGCCAATATACACTTTCTTGATTATTGTAGATTTATAGTAAGTTTTAGAGTAAGATAATACCAGTTCTCCGATTTTGTTCTTCTCTTTCAATAATTTGTTTCACCAACTGGGTCTTTTGCCGCTCTATACAAACTTTGGAATCAGTTTGTTGATATCCACAAAATAACCTGTTGAAATTTTTCATTGCGTCTATACATAAGTTTTAGTGTATTTTCTCTCTGGTGTTCATTTTGAATAAATTCTATAGATCTGTCCTCACATTAAAAAATTCTATACTCTGTCATTTCCAATCTGGGTCCATTTAACAAATTTTTATATTTTGTTTCAGTTACATACATTTCACTTGTTCTTTATCAGTATTTATAGTTGTGGATATTTTTTATGTACTCATTTTTTTCAAGGGAACTTGTAATCCCTTGTTGAAGTACTTTTATGATTTTTAAAAAAGCAGGATTAATTAAATTTTACGGGAAGAATTCAAAATAAAGTTCAAAGTTGTAAACTAGGATGACTGAGAGTTTCAGTGACCCTGACATGATCAGAGCTAATTGTTGGAGTTGCATGTTCACTGAATAAAGTCAATCATATGTTGTAATCTAATGTCTGATGTGAGAATGATGTCACTTTATCTTCTGACTCTATTTTAGGAAACGTGTGCATCTAAATTCTTTGCCTGGCAATTCCATCATCTGATTCATCTTAATGTTGGCATTAGTTGACTATCTTTTCTCATGTAAGGTGTGATTTTCCTGGTTCTTGGTATAACGTGATTTTCACAATTTGACTATTATTTTAAGAGTGTCTGGGGCCTATTCATATCTTTTATTTTGAAGGCAGACACCTGGCTTACTTTTGTTAAATTGTGGTTCCAATGACAGTTTCGGAGCTCCCGAAGTGCTGTTTGGCCTGTCTGGTGTTGCTGTGGCTCCCAACGTACCTGCTGGTGTTGCCTGAGGGGGCAAAAGGAGCATCTCCAGGTTGTGCATCTGGTGACATTAGGTAGATAAAGAGAATGTCTGGCTGAGGGACATAAAGGATTCCTGTGTCAAGCTTTTCTGTGGAGGGATCCCTCTGACTTGTGTCTTTTTGTCAATAAAAGGCACTTAGCTGCCCACTGTCTTCAGTGGGGAAGAGGAGTCTCAAGTCTGGCAGGAAAGGACAGTATGGCCTCTCACCCTTTCTTGTGAGTGGGACTCTCAGTCAATTCCCTGGCCAGTGCAACCAGGCTCTGCCAGTGATGCTGGCAGGACTCCTGTTTGATTAGGAGGAGAAATGAACTTATCGAGACCACCACAGCCCCTTACTAGTTTGGGGTTGAGAAATACCAGGCCTCGTTTGTTTGCCTTATGCTGTTGGTGGGGGATCATATGTTGCTAGCCACTGTTGTTCCTCCAGTAGTCATATCCCTAGTCATTCCATCTTCGTCTTTACATTTCTCACAGCATAACATTACTTTGGCTGCCTCTTGCGTTGTTTCCAAGATTTACAGTTGTACTTAAGAGGGAGAAGTTGAGAGTCTGTGCCATCTTTTCCAAAGCAGAGGTGGTAGATGACTTGTTAATTACAAAGAGCAAATGATATCTTCACAATGAAGAAACCTAGTGGCTATGGCCTTAACCTTGCAAGTAAACAAACTTAGTTTCAACAATAATGGGGCAAACTGACATTATGAATCTCTAGATATTGGAAAAAGAATAAGATCTGGGGGAGATAATAGATCAACCGAAGGACTTTTATACATGCACATAAGTACAACCAATGAACATAAAACTCTGGGGAGGGAGGAGATGTGTGGGAGGGAGGGATGGGGGCAAAAAAAAAATCAAAAAAATATATTAAAAAAAAAAAAGACTGAAGAAAGGACCTCTCTTCCACTATTTCAAATACTTAATAGCTAATTTCATAACATCACATGTACCATTTTAAGGAAGTGATGATTTAGTGGGAAATTAGTGCTTTGCATTTGTATACTGTAAATATAAATGACGATTTGTTTGAAATGTGTAACTTTGATATGCAAAAGATAATAACTCACAATGTTAATATTAAATATTCCTTCAAAATAAAAAAAAAATAAAAATGTAAAAAAAAAAAAAGAAGAAGAAGAAGAAGAAGAACAACAACAACAACAACAACAACTCAGTACTACTACCTAGGTAGAATTATTGCCAAAAATATTTAAGTTGAGTTTAATGATCAGGAAACAATGAGACGTGTCCAGATTTGGAAACAATTCCCTGTTATCTACAAGGATATCAATGTTATAAAATAAAACAAAGGTTAGAGACCGTTCTAGATTATAGAGACTAAAGAGACTTGAAAACTTAACTCCACACATGATCCTTTATTAGATGGTGGATAAAAAAGAAATAAACAAACAAATACCAAAACACAACAATCTATAAAGACTTTACTGGAAATATGAGAGAAAGTTTAATATAGACTCCATGTTAGATAATTTATGGTACCTTGTTAAAAGTTTTGATATGTTAATGATATTTTAGTTATTTATGAGGATATCCTTATTCTCAGGAAATTAATGTTAAAGAATTAAGGAATTAACACATTATAATATCTATAACTTATTTTCAGATGGTTCAGTATAAAAAAAAATAAATAGGCCGAAACCAGTTTGGCTCAGTTGATAGAGTGTCAGCCTGCAGACTGAAAGGTCCCGGGTTCGATTCTGATCAAGGGCATGTACCTTGGTTGCGGGCACATCCCCAATAGGGATTGTGCAAGAAGCAGCTGATCAATCTCTCATTGATTCTCTCTCATTGATGTTTCTAACTCTCTATCTCTCTCTTCCTTTCTGTAAAAAATCTATAAAGTATATATGTAAAAATAAAAAATAAAAAATAAATAGAACAAATAATAATTTGGGGTAACACAATGGCAAAATGTTAATTGGTGAATATATGTGGAGGGTGTGTAAATATTGATATTACTATTCTTAAATTTTTTGCAGTTTGATACTTTTCAAAGTGAAAAGTTGAGGGTAAAAATAAGAGAAATTATAATGAAGGCATACTCTTGTCAACAATAGTTATTTCAACTTTAACTTCCATCCTAACTTAGATTCCTCATATAAACAGGAACTATTGTTGTGATAAAAAAATACCTTTTAAAATATGATTCTATTTTAGTAACTATCAGTATAATTCAAATTCAATTAATGAGACTCATTTTTATATTTTAATAGTAGACATTAAACATAAAATATTCATTTGAAAATTGATGGAGGTTTATTTACCCCAACTTCTTGTCATGGCACCAGTCTCTGAATAATTTCATCATGTGTCTTTTAAACTGAGAAATAATGTAAAAATTTGAAAATTTTCCTTGACCAACTGTATTCATTGAGAAGGCCTTTTGAATGAGAAAGGCCTGTGGATTGTAAAAGTGAAAACTGCACCATGAGAGAGAAATTGGAAGGAAAGCAGGATCTTAATGCAAACAGGTGGTGGAGAGACTGAGAGAGATGGCTTTGGGGTATTTCTAAGAGCACTTAGGGTTCTGGGCTCCTTCTTACCCAAACATTGAACCTAAATTTTAATAATATTGTGATTCTTAGAACTTTCCCCTAAAGAAAAGCTGCATAGCAAAGTATTAAGGACACAGGATTTAAAAGCAAGACAGCCTAGCTCTGCTATTCATAGCCATCCACTCTGGGACTTAGTTTCCTTATTCCTAAAATGGGAATAATGATGATGTCTTCATGAGGAAGCACACAGAACAGGCTCTAAAGTGGTAATCAACATCATTATATGTTCAAAGAACACAATGGGAAGCTTTCTAAATATTTACATGTTTCTTCTTGAGCATTAGTATCTCGCATAGAAAGTACAGCACAGGGAATATAGTCAATAATATTGGAATAACTCTGTGGGTACTACAAATATCAGGGGAATCACTTTATCTAACCACTATACTGTACACCCGAAATTAATACAAAATAGTATTGAATGTAAACTTTAATTGAAAAATAAAATTTAAATTAGAAAAAAAAAAAAAACGGGAAAAGGAACCACAAGAGGCCTTAGGCCATATGAAAAAGAATAGCAGTTAATATTTCAGTGTGGTGTTAATATACTCTAGGAATCTATTTTGCTTTGCTTTAAGAGAGTAACTTCTACACCAAGGTCAGATGGAAAGGGACAATTTAAAGTGGCTTTGAGGTCCTTTCCCTGGTGTGCCTACCTCTCCAGGTGGAGACTTCCTCTTCCATCTGGTCAGTCTTCTTCCTGGTCCCACTCTTTCTTAAGCCATCTTAATTAGACTTTTATAATATAGGACATATTTCTAAGTCGTAAAATTTTTATCCATTTTATGGCCTATTTACCATCCAATAACAATGCTCACTTAGCAAATAAAGCCAATTCACCAGTTCTATATTATTTATTGATATTATTCTTGTTTTAATAAGGTGGCTCCACTTAGAGGAGCTTCATTAGGTTTTCAAGCCTTGATGAGCCTATTACCCAGCTTTCACAAAGTCTCATTAAGATGGCTTAAGATAGAATTATATAGCTTTATTAAACTCAATTTTTGTTTATATGATTGTGGGATTATTTTTAGTAACTCTAAGAGTTCAATGAACATATATATTTTCCCCCTAAGTGCTAGACAAGCCATAACAACTAATACCAATTGGTTGCATCTGACAATTGTGGAAAACTTTAATCATTCCCCAACATCTTCCCCTTTCTCTTCTGTTATAGCTCAGATGCTTTAATTTATTTCATTAACTGTCTTAATTTAGAAACACTTTGACATCTATGTGGCATAAAAATGCAGGAAAATGTCCATACACACAACGTTTTGCATGTAATTTCAAGAGATTCAAAGATCTCTTGAGTCCATTCAGTGATCAGATGGGGTTCATGGATTCTGTGTTAGTAGCTTCTGTCTTATTCTAATAGTTTCTCCATATCTCCTTCCTAACTGCCTTTGTTTGAACCAGCACCTAACCCTTCAAGAAACAGTAATGCTTATTAAATTTGTTGACTCTTTTCACACAATGTTGTATTGCAGAACCTAAGGGACAAGTTCATATAAGGTTACCATTTAAAACACACACACACACACACACACACACACACACACACACACACACACACACACAAACTTCCAGGAGGAAATTATGGGTAAGTCTCTACCCATAAGACTCTTAAGATTCACTATGCTTTTATTTAATCCTCTCTCACCTAATAATGAAAGTCCAGCCTATTGTGTATTATTCTGAATGAAAGGGATAGTTGGTTATGTGCCAAAGATGGAGTGTAGTCATAACAGACATTCAAATAAGATTTGAGCATTAAACAACAGGAAAGACCAAGGTAGGAAAAGGTAGAAAAAAATTAAGAGGATAATAAACATTTTTCCTTATAAATAAGCTTCATTTAGCACAAGTCTACTGGATGCCATCTATGTGCTTTCTTCACTCATACGACTGATGTCTATTAACAACAGCATGTAGGCCCCATTAGCAGAAAGGAAAACAGAAGAAATCATCTTTGAAAATTAAGTCCTTTCTTTCCAGATCTAGAATATCATGTAGTCTGTGACTGTTCATGATTGCTAAGTTATAGTACAATTTCATAACTATTTAAAGACAAAAGCTAACACTAAAGCTGCAAACTGTAGAGTCATTTAAAAATTTCTTCTCAGTCCCTTCTTATTCATCCAAATTAAATCTAATGCTATATGAGTGCCTGGTATAAATTCAGAAATCCTGTTATGCATTAGAAGATCAGAAAGATATAGTTTCCCATTCACAGTTTATTGTTGTTTAAATCCAGTTCAGTATCATGCATTATTTCAGCTCTATTAGGACATCTGGGAAGGACTTGATCATTTTCTTCATTTCACAGGTAATACCTCAACTCATAATTCAAAGCTAGAGAAAAATAAAAGTGAAAACATTTTTTGCACAAATATTTGAGAGAGATATTTATGGATTAAGTTTTTATGGGTAAGGGATTGAACTAGAATTGCAGGAAAGATTCCCTTTAATGGTATTCAAGAGAAAATAAGAGCTCACGTAAGCTAGGAAGAAAATAGAAACACTAATATTTGCAGTAAATAGCTCCAATCATTATTATGACTAAATGCAAGCAAAATGAAAATTGATATTCCTCTATTTTATATTTAAGAACTAAAGATCTAGCAATGAATAAAGATAAAGCCATATCAGGTTTTATAAGCCTGGTATTAAAAGTGAAATTACTCTCATTGACAGGTGAAATTGATCTGGCATTTTACAAAAGAAGGTAAATGGATTTTTAAAAATGGTTTTATTCTCCTTATATAGGAAACTCAAAACTACTTAAATATTTTAAAAGTCATTTCTCATGGAAATGGAATCATTTTTTTCTATATGCCTAAAGCACATTAATGAGTATTCTGAATTTCCTTCCCTGCAGCCAAGTGGTAAGTCAAAGTGAAAAAAGCCTACAATATTATCTTGTAGAAAAATATAATTTTATCCTTGAGAAAGAATAGTTATTGCTTGCTGCTAAATTTAACATGGGATGTACAAAGTTACTGTGGCTATGCTATGCATAGGAAAAACTTTTCTATGGTGCTCAGCTAGTAACACTCATGGACAGTTTTAGCTCCAGCCACACTTCAGTTCACGGGTATTTATATCAATTTTCTCAACCTTGTGTTTGCCGTGCTTCATAATGCTTTTATCACTCCAACTCTCTTATAGAAGTTTTCATTTTTGCTTTGCGTTTTACTCATTGCGAATGCTATTTGAATATACTTTTTCTAGTAAATATCATTTATACATTTCCCTTCTACCGGCATATAGAAAGGTAAGGCAAATCTCTCATCACCCATTCTGAGCATCATAGGTCTAAGTAAAATGAAATATGCACTTAAAAACTTACAAATCATAAATGTATATGCAGTCATAGTTATCAACTCTAAACTTAAATGGTTTTAACCAAGGTTTTTTTTTTCCTCTTTATATTCCACATTAACACTGCCTTATATTGTCTATTATACATATAATAGTTTTCTTAGCCTTGATTATATGTCTCTTGTACATCAGAAGTTCTCCCTTTTGGATTCCTTTTTTAAATTAAATATATTGATTAATACCACTATATGAGTTTCAGGTATAAATTCCACAATACATCATCTGTATATGGCATTGTATGCTCACCTCCCAGTCTTATCTCCTTTGACATCATATATTTGCCCGCCTTTTCCCTTTTCATCCTCTCCTGACCCCCTTTCTCCTCGGTAGCCACCACACTTTGTCTGTGTCTATTTCTGTTTTTTATCCCTTCATCTTAGAGATGCTTTTATGAACTTGACCACAAAGAAAGGAAAGAAAAAACAAAAATAAACAAATGGGACTAACTACATCAAACTAAAAAGCTTTTGCACAGCCAAAGAAACCATCAGCAAAACAAAAAGGCAACCAATTGAAAGGAAGGAGATACTTGCAAACTTACCTCCAATACGGTTCTCCAAAAAAGAACTCATACAACTCAACAACAAAACAAACGATCCAATTATAAGAGGGGAAGAGGACATGAATCAACACTTTTCCCAACACTTTTCATACAAATATATGAAAAGATGCTCAACTTCACTAGTTATATGGAAAATGCAAGTCAAAACCACAATGAGATACCACTTAAACCTGTTGTAATGGACACTGTGATTAAATCAAGAAATAACAAGTGTTGGAAAAGATATGGAGAGGAAAGAGCCCTCACACACTGTGAGTAGGGATGTAAATTGGTACAGCCACAAACTATGGAGGTGCATTCAACAATTAAGAACAGAGCTACCAAATAATCCAGCAATCCCTATTCTGGGTCTCTACCCCAAAATTTTGAAAACACTTATTCATAAGGATATGTTCTCTCAACTCTTTAACAGTCAGCCATTCCCTGCTCAATATTATAAAACATCTCAACTACAGATTTTATCCTTGAAATTATTTCTCTACTGGGTATTAGAGACAAAGAGATGTAAAGGGAAAAAAATCAAAACCAAAATCTAAAAGCAATTCTAGTAGCACTCTAATTTTAAAACAAATTAATTTTTGTCTTGTGTGGAGTCCAACATAATTTTCTATATAAAATTGCTAAGACTTATTTCAACAAAGTCATGCACGGGGGATTTATTTTCCCTTTTCACGTTGTAATAATTAATAATTTTCAGAATCTTAGACACCATCTCATCTTACCTTCCAGTGGGGCTAGAGCTGCTATCTTCACTTTCCCATGGCTCATTTTTACTTCTTGGAATTGGGGGTTGTAGCATTTCGGCTGCTAATGGATCAGCATCATTCTCTTCTCGACCAATCCATTCCCCAATCACACGGGGTCTTAGAAGAGTAGAAGTAAATGCCACTGTTTCCTGAAGAGGAAAAAAGAACAGGTGCTGCCTTAGCTTATTTACTCTTTTCAACGGACAAGGAAATAATTTTATCTAGAGTTTCAACTGCTTCCTCAAATCAAAATGTCCTTTTTCCTTTCTGAATTAACTTAAAACTTCAGTTCTTTCCATCTCTACTAGATGACTTACTCTGTGTGATTTGTGCTCATTCCAGAAGGTCACAGAGAACTTCAAGACAGAATGCAATTCTACGATAGCCAGGAACATTCATGTAGAACTTCTAAACTATAAAACTATAAGATAATAAATTATCTTGTTTTACTTTTACAGCAGCATAGAAAACCAATATAGTGACTAAGCAGGAAGAAATTTCTAGAATTCACACAGGTTTTTTTTTTTAAGGCTTTAAAATAGTATCAGTCTTGTTTCATTTCAACTTTCCATTTTAAATACAATTAATAACTCTTATCTTTTATAGAATTCACAAACTACTTTTAAAGATCATAGAATAAATAATTTCAATGAAATTATGACCTAATTAGTGTGACAGTAACAGACCAGTATTTTATAAAGGTTACGAAAAATATATCTTTAGTGAACCCCCAAAATATTAATGGAACATTAAAAGGAAGAACATGTATTTATTTTTATTATAGTAAAGACAAGGTGTCATTTCAACACAAATTGTAAACCTTTCTGTTTGACTGATTTTTAAAAATTCATCTTTATTGTTGAAAGAATTATAGATGCCCCCTTTTTCTGTTTGATTGCTTTTTTAATACCTGCCTGAGATACACTTTTTCTTACTGAGCAAAATGCAAAACTGAGTTTTGTGGTCACCAGAGGGCACCATAGGGCAGGCTGTTCTCTCCTCCAAGATCAGTTCAAGGAAGGCAAAGAATGTAGACTGTTTTTTTTGCATTATCTGACACTCCTGAAAATCAGGTGTGAGTGGGAACAATTCCTTATATGAACTGGTTCCTAAATGTATAACTCTGAACCAAAACTTTATGAGCAACTACTCATATAAACAATATTTAACAGATAACTCAAACAAAACAAAAGCAAACTCTTTTGTTGTTGTTGTTGCTAATCCTCACCTGAGGATATATTTTCTGCATGAGGCCTAAAAGGGCCGGGAATCGAGCTGGCAACCCAGGTACATGCCCTTGACTGGAATCAAACCCAGGACTCTTCAGTCCACAGGCCGATGCTCTATCCACTGAGCAGATTGACGAGAGCTAGGAAAGAGAACTATTGATGGTATCCCAACCTGTCAAATTTGTTCTCTCCCCAGTTTTTCTAATTTTGATAAGTGGCACCACAGTTCATTTAATTTCTCATCCTCCAAACATAAGAATCATCACCTGATCTTTTCTACTACTCATCAGATCCAATCCATAGCAAGCTCCAGTGATACTACTGCTAAAATATATTCCTAATCATATCGCTTCTCACAATATAGTGCAAGGCATCATCATATTCTCTTGGCATCTTAAAATGATTTTTAAAATATAGTTAGTAAGCCCTAGCTGGTTTGACTCAGTGGAGAGAGTGTTGGCCTGCAGACTGAAATGTCTCTGGTTTGATTCCAGTCAAGGGCACATGCCTGGGTTGCAGGATCAATCACCAGTAGGAATTGTGTAGGAGGCAGCTGATCAATGATTCTCTCTCATCATTGATATTTCTTCCTCTCCCTCTTCCTTCATCTCTATAATTAATAAAAATATATATTTTAAAATAATTAGTCAGCTTTACAAAGAGCAGCTATAGAAAAGAACAATTTTCTTCCATATCTTCATCATCATCATCAATGCAAGAAGAATCCAACTTTTTTACATATTATTAGTATTCATTTTTAATATAGTTTTTATTGATTACAGTGGTACCATTTCCTCTAGCCAATTTGAAAATCCTTAACTCAAAAGAATAGGAGACATTATATATTTCGTATAACTTTCATTTAAAAATCTAAGCATATAACTTTGAAAAAAACATTTTTAAATATTAGCACCATACTTTATATTTGAACATTTAATAATGTTCAGTGGATTAAAACCTAAATTTCATATGTTCTTTTCATTAGATATATAGTTCAACTTACCTTATCAAGTTCATCTGAAATTGCAATACCTGGGATTCAAAAGAGATTTATAAAAAACGTTTTAGAAGCAATCTTTAATAACCTAATGTTAAAGTTCTACTTATAAAACCAGTGCATTTTCCATTATATTCTTTCTTTTTATTAGTGCTTCAAAATAGTGTGATACATCCTTTCTACTTATGAAAACAAATTAGGAATTCAAGTCAACTATGACAGCATGCACTGCTGAAACAATGCAAATGATGCAACAAAAACAAGACAAGTACCACACCAGTTTTTAGATGCAGAGCTAATGTGCATATAATTGTGGGGATGTAGTCTTTATGTTATAATGATAGTCAAATATAACTTAGCTCATTGCAATTCTGTTCCTGCTTATAAACTGATTTAGACTCCTAAAGTGATAAAATATTAAGGCAGAATGGTGGTTGGAGATCATTATTTTAATTCCCCCCCCCTTTTTTTTTACCGATGAGGACACAGACTAGAGAGTTCCAGGAATTTGTCCCAATCTCTTAGATTGACAGCTTCTTAAGACAATGGATAAATTCTTCTTCCTCACAATTACCCTTCTTACCATTCACAAATTCCTCACTGTACATCTTATTTCTATCTTTACCATTCCTCCAAAATTGTTTTAAATCAGCAACGTAAAGAGCTTAGTCCTTAATTTATTTGTCATCAATGTCCTGTCATTAAATGTTATTAAGTCCCTCTCTTTTCTATTCTCCTGCTCTGTCTCCCTCACAGGAATCCTGTTCATTGGAGTCCTTTCCTGAAATGCCATGGGTTCTTTGCTGAGCTGTCTTTCTTTTCAGTTGATTACTTTCCAGGGTTATCTAACCTATACCACTGTCACTATTATTTCACTATATGGTGATGACAAAGAAATCTTTATCTACAGCACAGACTATCTTCCTGAGCTAGTTGTTGATTTCCTAAGTGCATTTCAGTCTCAAAGAGTCAGGCTAATGACATCACCTTTCTTGCATATCACTTCCCCCTTTTTGAGAATGGTGCTGTGCCTAGAGCTGAACCTAGGCCCTGGGGCCAGGCATTGGAGCTGGTGTGGCCATGTGGGGGGGGGGGGGGGAGGTACTTTACCCATTCCTAGAGCCTCTCCACTCCAATAACCTAATATATATCCATTATACACAAAGAAGAAAAATATTGCCCTACTATAACTCAGGAAGCAGCACCATTCTTCCCCTTGTAGATAAAACTAGAAAAAAAGGTGAATCTGAGACTCATTCATCATAGCAATATTCCATATAATTCTTTTTTTTTTTTTGTAAAAGTTATTGGTAACTAGGACTTGTATGTGTTACTGCACCAAAAGAATATCTAGCTACAGCTTTGGGAATTTGGGGTGACTTAAGTTTAATAAGTATTCAAGGATGTGCTGTATTAATTAGCTCCTTCAAACAATTCAAGAAAAGCTTCAGGAAGGAGCAGCATTCCTGCTGGCTGGTATCTGCATTGTGTGTGTGTGTGTGTGTGTGTGTGTGTGTGTGTGTGTGGTGGAGGACTCTGAGACATAATGGATTCGCAGTGGGGAGGATATGTAAGACCAATAAGCGATCCCAAAGCTTTTCGAACAATTATAAATATTTACAAAGGCCTAACATAAATAATCATTTGTGAATATTAGGTTTTAAAAATATACATAATATTTTAAGTGGTCACTTGGAATAACTCACATTTTAAGATAATGTATAGAACACCAAATGGTATATGTCACAGTCTACAATATATTTAAAATAATTATTCCAGTTTACAAAAACTAATATTTTAAGTTCTTATATTTACATTCAATACAACAAAATGGTCCTTTCTAATATGAATTCAATATTAAAACTGAATATATTGTACATTATATTTTTGTCAAAAGACCTTTGAATAGCCAAAATCTACGTGTGGCATAGAACTTGCCCATCACTTATAACCTAGCTCCTTGGATCCTATCCACTGTCCATCACTCTCAACTTTAGTCACTATCAGACAGGAAATGTTACCAATGAAAAATGGAAATGAAGGGAATGGTTGCTATGAAGATACGTTAACATCCTAAGAAGTAGTTGGTCCCACAATAATATTCAAACTAGATAAACTGAAAACTTGCCTTGGGAAAAAAATTATGCTTCTAATAATTCCAAGTGTTTGGTCGAACATATTTTATTGAGTTACCTATTATTATATTTGTTAACATTTATATATTTTTATTATTTTGCCTAACAAATCATCTAAATAAGTCTCTATTCTATTGCATACAGTTTTTTCTGCTCCCGCTTGACAATGTCAGTTACGGAGGTTATTTTTCATTGTTTTGTAGTTTCACTTTTAATCAAAGCTTAAACTAACTAAAAACAGTTGAAAGAATTTTAAAGAAATGCTTCTTTAAAGCACAGAGCTCCAATGGGAACCATTTGGAATGGGTAGCCAGGATATGTCTCCTGGTTCCTAGCACAACATTCACAGCTCTTTATTCTTACAAGTTATCATATTTTAAGATAATAATTTTAAAGTATGTAGGAAGGCAGGAGCAGCAGTGAACTGAAAATATCCAAAAGAAAATTTAGTGAGTGGTTTGCTATAATATTCTATAAGGGAGAAAGGCCCACTGCACCACTGACTCACTCCACAAGCTATCCCCTGAGTGAGAAAGTATTGTATTGTATGAAGTCACATGATTTAGGCCATGAAACTCTTCTAACATAAGGTTATGGCAACCTAGCCAGACACAGCTCAGTAAAGGCAGGAATTGCACCTGTTTTTCCTGATCTGGGGCAGGAACGAAATGGATCATGTTAAATTGATAAACCAATGATCTGGGCATTTTCATTGTGATGTGAACTAGGGACTAGAGAAGAGAATCAGACCCAAAACATACTTTAGAGGTGAAATGAGCAAGATTTGGTAAGAATTAATTTTTGAATAGGTAAGGGGGAGAGAGAAGAGTGTAGTGGGGCTCCCATTTAGGTAAACTGGTAAGCAACGGTGCCACCATCTGAGACAGAGCACACAGAAGAATGGTCATATGCGAAGAGGAAGGTAGAATGTACTCTGATATATTGAATTTAGCATGGCAGTGAGCTATTCAAGTAAAGATATGTTTTAGGCATTTTGTTTCAAAAGCGTATACAGACTAATGTTGCCAATAGGTTCTGCAACTTTAAGCAAAACAACTTACAATAAAACCAATTTACCATAGGCTAATTGATATAAACCAACATTTCTATAGCATCTCCTCAGAATTTGCACATATTAATATAAGCCTCTGACATATTCATATGATAAGGTACTTTTCACGAATATAGTATAGCAATAAACTGCAAACTCACTTTATCATTATTTGATCCAAAAGTAAATCATAGCTGGCAGAACAAAACCTCTAATCTAAGCCCTTGGATTATAAATCATTGCTTTTACACAAAGTACATTACACGGCACTACACTAGGCTCTGAAAGAATTCTAAGAAGAATCTGGTCCAGTTACCTTCCTTAAATGTAGATGCATTAAAAACCCATGAAAGCAATAGGAATAAATGTTAAGATGACACAAAACAAAAAGGTTCAAAAGAGAAGAATGAACAAGATACCACTAGGTGTACACATGACCTTGGTAACAGAGAGATGATAGAGAGAGGTGGTGAAATAATCATGAGGGGTCTATAGCTCCTCCTACTCTGTATAACCAGTCTGCCCATGAGTCTGTGTAATATGCAAGATCAATCTCACTTCCAATCCAGGTCCTTAGAACTCCTCAATCTCTCACGGAATTTTAATGAGGATGTTAGAAATGGGCTACCACCAATATTAATGAATGCTTCTACTTTGATACTGGTTAGGAATTTCAATTAGGATTAAATAACTGAACTTACTTCGAGAGAGCTTCTGAAGGGCCTTTCCCAGCTTCTTGCTCTCTTGAAGGATGTGGTTCAATTCATCAAAATCACGGCTTTCTGGTTTAGTTCTCCAGTTCCACTTAGGATGATCTACTGACCTTGACACTATGTTTAAAAAGAATGATTACTTCATAAGCATGCTGCATGGTAATAAAAATTTACTCTTCGTCATTATGCGAAAGACTGTATAAGATTATATTCAGAATAAAAATTTTTTTTCTTGGAAATGGTTTTCTTGTGAGCAAGCAGTGGGAAGTTATAAAGCTGGGTTTTAAAAAATGTTTTAAATGAACAAGTAAAAGGAAGTGTGATGCCTTTTATAGAAAAAAAAGAAAAATCAGGTACTGATTTAAAACTAACGATTTCTAGAATTTAAGGAAAACATAAAAATAAAGTAGATTTATGTTTTAGCAGCTTAAAAACTTCTTTATCATCAATCAGTAAATATTTCTAAGACATTCTTGCATTCTTCTAGTAAAACAGAGATGATGGTAATTACCTTCATTTCTCCTCAAATTCTGAATTCCCACTAAAATTGTTAGAGTAAAGGAATTTTTATTTTTATTTTTTGGACAAAGAATGAATTAAGCAAGGAGAGAAGCCACTATTAATATCATGGCAAGAAATAACATCATAGTTTATTGAAAGATGCAAAATGAATTGATGAGTAGTAAGCAAATTTAGAAAGCTAGAGAATACCAAAACTTAGTTCTCCCAAAGTGATTATTTCAGACCATTTAAGTATTAAAGTATCAAACAGGACCAATGACAAAGTAATAAGAATATAATAACTTTCTTCTTCAGATCAGAATAATTCATTGAATATCACTAAATTTTACAACAATAGAAATACAGAAAAGATCTTAAAAGCTTTCAGAAACTAAAGTAGCAAGTCATATTGTCATCAGACTTCTCAACAGCAACACTTCTCCTTAGAAGATTGGGGAGAAAGTCTTACAAAATTTCAACTAAAGATTACTTCCAACTTAGAATTTTCTACCCAATTAAAGGATCAAGCAAGATACTTGTAAAGACTCAAAATTTATCTTGCAAGCATTCCCCCCCCCCCAGAAAGCTCCTAGTGGAGATGGTCCACCAAAATACAAAGTGGAAAGACTTGGGATGCAGGCAATCAATGATCCTCCATAAGAAAAAGGAAAAAGAGATCCCCCAGGATGACAGTGAAGGACAATCCCAGAAGACAGCTGAAAAAATAGCTAGAGATCCAGAAACAAAGACTGGAGCAAAAGGATAGATAGCTACAGGGGAAATGGATGTAACACTTTTCAAAATGAAATAAAATATAAAATAAGACCAAAATTAGGATCACTTGATGTATTTGATCATATTGAGAGTTTTTAATAGTTTAACATAGGATTTGGTGAAGTATCAGTGATGGATACATAGAAAACAAACAGAAAAAAGGTCAATTATTAACTAATAAATTCATAGTTGGCCATCTTATGGCTGTACTGTGAAAAATGCAAATTAATGTAGTCTTACTAATACCAAAGCAGAGTATATATTCAACCAACATTTGAAATATCTGCATGATGGTAGGGGGGATGTTGAGATGGGGCCAAAGTATAAAGCACAAAGTCTTAAAAGGAGGTCGAAAGATGATGCCTCAAGTGTAAAAAGTAAAAGAGAACATTAAGTACCTTGTATGTTTAGATATTTAGACCTGTGTAGCAAAAGCAACATCTACAAGAGTTAAAAGTGGTTCCAAATTAGAAGAATAGAGGAAGAAGAACAACACTTGCCTTGTAGTTCCTACTACTTTACTTTTTAAACCATGCATTTGTTTTGATGAAAATAAATAAAATAAAATAAATTATATATTTATATGGTAAAGCTATAGGAAAGACAGGCTGTTGAAATATCTTTTCTGCTACCTATTTGAAAAGTAATCTAGGAATATCGATTATAATAAAAGTATAATGACCTTCTGGCCCAGCAATCTTATGTTTGGTTAATTATAATAAATAAAAAATGCCTATACTAATAAATTACAAGGTTGTTTATCAGGAAGTGAAAGGTATTAATTTATTTATTCAGGAGCTTGTGGTAGAAAAATTCTGAAAATCATTTAATGTCATTCAGGGGAATAAATAAATTAAGGTACATTCACACTATGATACAGTCTGCTCTTATTAAAAAGTTTATCTTAGATCCAAGCTTATTAGCATGGAGACACATCCACAAAGCAATTTAAAATAATAAAATTAAGTTACTTAATGTATTTTGTGTTAGTTTATACAAAGAAAATGATGTATCCTTTATACCTATATTTCTCTCTATATATATTTCTTATTACTATGACATCAGTCTCTTTAATATTTCTTACAATGCTGGTTTGGGGGAAATAACCATATTTTGGTATGGGAAGGTCTTTATTAAAAAAGAAAAGGATGTAAAAAAAAACCTAACCTATTTCAGAGGCTGTGAAAAGATACAAATCATTTGTGAGGGAGTAGAATTTGAGTGGACTGAAGAAAGAAAGACTATATGTCTGTATTTTGTAATTGTCAGAATAAGCAAATATTACTTCTGTAATTTAAATAAATCTAAAATATAAAAAATAGAATACAAGTGCTTCCTCTGTGTTTCTTTGTTTAAGGGATTCTGGGAGAGAGATATCAACTAACATCAACACATGAGATCAAACACTGGAGAGTGGACAGAGTGAGTGTTATAAATGGTTCTAGAAAAGACTTCCAAGCACACTGCTATTACCCCAGGGGATTTCTGGAAACAAGCCCAGGCATAGGGGAGAGGAACTCAGAAAAGGAAAAGATAAAACTATATTTGTACCATATCCTTCAAAAGATTGGCACTTTTGTTAACCTTTATTGAACAATTTCTCTAATCTAGATCATTGCATTATCTAATTTCCCTGCAAATTAACATATGCTATCAAGAGTTCTCTCTCCTTTTAATTTACAAATAATAGAATAGTGTTTGTTTTTAAAATCAGTCCCAATTAATATTCCCAAATAACCACCAGACATGACCAGCTCCCAAAGCATCCCAGCCTTTACAGACCTACCAGCTGACTGCATGGACATGGCAAGACCAGAAGAAGCACCCAATCAATCCATGGAATCATGAGGAATTACAAACTGCTGTTTTTTAAGCCATTGAGTTTTAGGGAGGATATATGAAGCAACAGAGGACTGATACAACGCTCAAGGACTTTCCTCGGCAACTTTCAAGAGGAACTAAAAATAATATTTTAAATATTTTGTGGCTTGTGATGATCTGATAAATACATGCACATATATCCAATTTATCAAGGAAACCAAATCTAGGGCAATCAAGGGCACTGAATGAGGATGGTCAAGTCAACTATTCTGGGGATTTCAAAAGATGTTTTGATAAGTAATGGAAGGACACAGATCTTAAAACTGAAAACTATAATTTAAATACATTTTAGCAAATATTCTTGGAAGAAATGGAAAACAGCAGAACAGTATCAACAACATAAGACGACACATATGTGGTGATAGAACCTAGGAGATGGCATGTCTATGACTTAACTGGGGCAAAGCTCTCCCCCAGTGCAGGAGTCCATCCCCAGTACCCTGCAGACGGCATCCTCCATTGGCCCATAAGAGCTTGCTACTTCATACAGCAGCTTACTGTACACTAAGCAGGGCTAATTTTGAGCAATTCTTTATTATACTAATCAAATTCTGACTCACTGTGACCACCACCAAAAGTTTCTATGTATGGGTTAAAAATAAATGTACTGTTTCCTCCAAATGACTTTACCAATAAAACTGCTAATATTTGATAATAATATGCTTATGTCTAGGATGATAAAGAATATAGTTTGTTTTTTTAAGCTAGCCTGATAGAATTTGGTTTTAAATTGAGATGTTCAGTACCTTTACACTTACTGTAATTATTGACATGTTTTTACTTAAACCTAACATCTTGGTATTTGGTGTCTATTTTTCCAATCCTTTATTTTTTTTCCCCTGTTCTTTATCTGCCTTTGTTTAGGAAGAATAAATTATATTTTTCTTTTCACATTCCATTTTAACTCATGTACTGACTTTTTATTTATGCCATTTTATGCTTTGCAGTGCTTCTTTACACATTACAATATGCACCTTAAACCTATTTCAGTGGGAGTTCAATATATATTCTGTTACTTCAGGAACAATTTATATTTTATTGATTTTTTAAAGAGAGGAAGAGAGAGGAATAGAGAGTTAGAAATATCAATGAGAGAGAATCATAGATCAGCTGCCTCTTGCACACCTCCTACTGGAGATGTGCCTGCAACCAAGGTACATGCCCTTGAACAGAATCGAACCTGGGACCTTTCAGTCCACCGACCAGTGCTCTATCCACTGAGCCAAACCGGTTTGGGCAGGAACAATTTAATATACTGTATTTTTTCCAATTAATAATTTTGACCCTGTATTCTTATTGTCATATATGTAATCTCTCCATATACTACAAAAGCTCACTTTGTTATTAATTTGGCTTTAAAAAGCTGACAGTTGGGTGGAATCAGAAGTTGGGAGCAGGTCACCTGAACAGAAAGAGAGAGCATCCATCAGATGCCAGGTTACCAGCAACAGTCTGTGACCTGGCAGCATCCCGTTAAAAGCATAGGCTCTTCAGAATGAGCAGCCTGTTAGCATTCTTCCCCAAAGCTGATGGGATCTAGTACTAATCCTTTAAAACTAGTAAATCTCTAAGGTTATAGACTTATCATTGCAATGTAGGGTGGGTGTGGTGGTGGTGATGGGGGTAAGTAAGAAGAAAATGAGTGAGAGAGGAAAAGAGAGAGAGAACAAAACAGAAGCAAATATAGGGGCTTCAGGAATAAATAATAAGTAGGAATTCAGGGAAATAATAGGTGAAGGACTTCATAAAATGTTGTTAAGTGTTTTGAATACAAACCTAATTTGCTCCCCCTCTAATAAATTTAATTTGCTTTTATGTACTTTTTAAAATGTTGCTTTGAATTAATACAATGCTGCAACTGGCATGAGAGGCAAGGGACCTATTGTAGGCAAAACACATTCTTAAAAGAGTAAGTACCAAAAGGTCAAAATCTGTTACACGTGGAGGGGCTGGGTGGAGGGGGGCAAAGCGGAGAGGAAATGGGGGGCATCTGCAATACTGTCAACAAAAAAATACATTTTAAAAAAAGAATATGAATAAGTTACTGAACAGAAATAAAGCTCAATGTTAATGCTGAAATAAATACAAAATTCATTACAATTAATAGCCAGAATATCAGCTAAAACACTTGGCTTTAATTCTTACCTTTTCTTCATTTTGTTAATAACACAGACTTACATATACATTAAGTAATTTTTGAATAACAAACTTCCTTACATGATTTGGATTCTGGTGACGGTGGAGAAATATTAGAGACAGCAAGGTCACTTTTTGACTTTTTGGGCTTCTTTGCATTTAATTGCCAAGGCTTATCATAGCTTCTCACATCCCTTCTTACTCCTTTATGTTCTGTTCAAACAAACAAACAAATAAACAAACATATATGTAAATACTTGCCCACTAATGTGATTTCAAGACACATAAAAAACTAAATTCATGAAGTTAGTTATACTCAGCAAAATCTACAGGTCATCTTATATAAAAAATAATGCAAATGGTTCATCTGGTGTGGCTCAATGGTTGAGTGTCAACTTGTGAACCAGGAAGGTCATGGTTCAATTGCTGGTCAGGGCGCATACCCAGGTTGTGGGCTTGACCCCAAGTGGAAGCCATGCAGGAGGCAGACAATCAATGATTCTCTCTCATCATTGATGTTTTTCTTTCTCCCTCTCCCTTCCTCTCTGAAATCAATAAAAATACAAAATAAAATAATACAAATATCCAAAAGCATTTCTTAATTTCTCCTGTACATTTTAGTTATCGATTTCATATGAATCAGTGTGTATAGTAATATGATAAAGATTATTTTAAACTGTGAAATTATTTGAAAGGCTTTAAAAAGCATGGGTTACCATTACTTAAAATAACAGTCTTTAAATGCTGCCATGGAAGAAAGCATTGTATTCTGATGAAAATAAAACATGTAAATATTTAAGTAAATTTTACTGATGTGAGTTTATCCATTATTTATTATGACACAGAAAACTGACATTCACCTAAGTTTCTTCCATAGCATCACTTATTTCCCCTTTGTTTCTTCAAGAAAGATTAATTCAACCAACTTTGCTAAAGTTATAGTTACCCTTCATACCAATTACCAATTGGTCAGTGTCATACCAATTACCAAGTTAAATGATCTTTTCAAAAGTTCATCCCTCTTGACTTCTTCACCAAGAATTTCATCTTTTTAGACAGACTTATTTTTGCAGAATGTTTTCTTCTGTTCTCAGAACAATACAAACTTTTCATTCCACTAACCTGACTACCTTCTCTGTCTCATTCATTGCTTCCTCATCTTCCTCTTTCATCCAGATGGCATTCTTTAGAGTTTCCCTCTGTCTTCTTGTTTACATTTACAAGTTTTCACCCCAGCTTTATGAACAAGCCATACATCTTTCTCTGGCCACCCACTTATAAGCACTAAATAAACAGCATGTGGATTTCTCAAATGTTCATGTTAAGTTTGTACTTAACTAGGTGTTACTCAATTTTTCCACCTCCAACATCTCATTAAATACCAAAAGAGGTATAAATATTCTAAAACACTAGGAATTGAAATATTGGCCTGCGGACTGCCAGAACCCAGGTGGTATTTCTATTGGTAAGATTAAGGCAAAAGATAGGCAAATCAGAAAGATGTTGGCTGGTTTCAAGACATGCACAATGCTTGCCCCTGTCTCAGAGTTATCTCCTTATGCTGTTTCATAATCTCTCAGAATTTTTCTTTCTATTTACATCCAAGCACCATAATTCATTCTAGTGCAATATGGGTAAAGGAATAAAGGATCCTGTTTGTAAAATATAGCAGCTCACGATACAAAGAAAAGCTAAAAGGAACCAGAGAGAAACGATATATTGGATTTTGTGGCCTTTTCAATTCTACATTTCTGGCAAGGAAAAACAAATCCACATTAATTTAAATAATCCAGTAATAATATTGTTCTTATTTAGTTGTTTGAAAAGAGATGAAGCATACAGTCACTAATCAGTTTAGCTGAGACCCAAGGATTATACCAGTACTGGAAATTTTAGTAGTGGCTTGGGTTGCTTTCACCTGTTTCTCTAAAATTCTTTAGAATGATTAAAAAATTCCAAGCTATATAGTGAGAGGACAAATTAGAGTCCATCTATTGACAAATATAGAACATTCCTCATTTAATTTGAATTAAAATATGATTTTAAGAAAAACATTTAATATGCAAAACAAGAATACAACATTCAAGATACAGAGGAAACTGATGGGTTTACAAAAGATTTATTATTGAAAACATTCAAATTTTACATTGTGGCTAACTTGCCAATAAAAATAAAATAAAATAAAATAAAATGGATTCTATGAACCAAAAAGAAATGAGAGAGGAAATAGGCTAACTAACCTATGATAAAAAAAAAAAAAAAAAAAAAAAACTCTGAAGACAGAGGTTTAAAGAAAAGAAGAAGATAAGGAAATACTATGGTAGTAGGAAGCTAAAAATGCAATACCAACATTTAAATTTCTGTTCAAAGCCAGAGAGAGAAAACTGACACTGCAGAAAATTGAATCAGTGACACAGAACACATTGACAAATAAATAAATTTCCCTAGAAGTTACTCTATGAAGAAAGGCAAATATCATGTATAATGAAACAAGAGAAATAGAGAACAATATTTACACATACTTTATTTTTCTTAAGAAGAAATGTAAACAAATATAATAGAAGCAGTAACTAAGAACAAAAAAGAAAAAAATATTCTAGGCTTAAAAGTGGGATTTGCAAGGATTTAGTGAGCATAGGAAAAGTTAGAGAAAAGAGATAAACATTTAGATGTATTCCCAGTAAACTTTGGAACATCAGAAATGAAAAGAAACCAAATCCCATTCGTGTTTAAAAAGAATAATTAAAACATCTAAAAAGGAATAAAATAAGGCTGCTTTCAGGTTTGTCCTTGACAATATCAAATAACAAACTTCTGGAAAAGATGTGCCCTAAATTGCTAGATCCACTTAAAGGCAATAAGAGGACATCTTGAGATATTTTCAAAAAGTATAATACCCATATACTTTAAATACTGAGACATTTTCTAACTAATTAGAACATACACCAAAAGAAAGAATTAAAAATTGCAGACAAGGTTTAAACTAGCATGATTGACTGTCCACCTGAACTAAAATTTCTCCAGCTATATTCCTATCCAAAGATTATTCTGTGTTTTCTTTCTCCCTTTGGTCATACTCTGCCTCCAAAATTTTTCCTCTTCATTTTCTGGAACATACATTTCATGGTAAACAAACAATCCCTGCCCCCTCTCATGTCTTAAAGAGACACCTCATTCCTCCCTGCTCTGCAGCTTCCTGGAGTGGTGAGTATTCTCTTCTCCATTGGCTGGATTGTCCAGGCCCAGCAATGTTGAGCTGAAAGTCCCTCCTGACTTGTGAGTAATGCTGGCTGTCTACACTATTCACCATCGCACTGGCCCTGATATCTCTTGCAACCCTCCTCACGATATTGGAACAGTCTCCCAGACCTTTCAACAACTTGAATGAAACCCTGGTGACCTCTTAATCCTCAGAAAAACCACCCATTAAACCTCAGACTTCCTTGTCCTTGACTTTTAAAGCTTCACTTCCCTGATGCTTATGATACTCCCAAACTAAGGCCATCAATAGGACTTTCTCATCATCTGAAATCATCCCACCTCAAGTCTCAGACAGCACAGTCTATTGTCCTTCTGTAACTCTCCCATTTTCACTGAACCTTCACTTACACTGGCCTCCTATGGATCTTCAGCTGTCCTCAGTCACCTCACTTCCCAATAAACAGACAACATTTTAAGTATCAGGTATGACTTCACCCTGGCCTTCTCCCCATCCATCTCCTACTCAATCTGTTAATTTAACCACAACTTCTTCCATTCCTTCCCTCCCACAGTTTTCATGATTTTATGTATGATATGAATGCCTCACCTGTGCCTCCTGCCTTGACCCATCCGAAAGTTGTAGACTCATTCTTGCCTGCTGTAATTATCTACTAAATTGCCCCACTAGAAGATCAAATCTATCAATAAGAACTGGACTTACTATCACTCATAAATTTATTCCTGTGTTACTATCTTACTTTATTAAACAAGCATTTGTACCATTAACTCAAGCTAATAAACTGGGAGGTATAGTGATCTCCACCCCTCCTTCACCCTGTCTAGTGCATCATAAAGCACTTGGGCCCGTCAGAATTCTAAGATGACCCCCGTGATATTTCTTATAGAGTCCCCTCTCCTTAAGTGTAGACAGGATCTTTACTTACTTCTAACCGACAGAATATGGCAAAGATGATGGGATGCCAATGCTATGATATGTTATGTTATATAGGATTCCATCTCATTAAATTTGAATGAGAGAAATCCCCTTGCAAGTTTGAAAGAAGCAAGCTGCCATAATGTGAGAGAGGCATGTGGCAAAGAGCTGCAGGTTGCATGTAGGAGTTGAGAGCAACCTGGACTGAAATCCAGCAAGGAAACAGGGACCCCGGTCATAATTAATTCTGCCAATAACATGAATGAGTTTAGAAGCAGAAGAGAATGTAGCCCAGCCAATATCTTGATTTCTAGACTTGTGAGATTAAACAAAGGATCCAGTTAAACCAGAAACAACTTCTGGCCCATGGAAACTGTGAGATATTAAACATAAGCTGATTAAATCTGCACTTTCCTACATCACTGCCTCTTTAAATACTATAATTTATAAATATAGGCTTGTACGAGCTTCACTGGGTTCCCCGATGCTCATCTCTTCTGTGTAACATAATGAGCGTCTTCTTTGTACCTGCACACCAGAGTCCATGCCTATACACACAGCTCCTCAGAGCCTAAACCAAGAAAGTAAGGCCAGGAAGAAACAGAAATTTGCTCTTTTGTATGCCAATAGCTCATATCCTAGTTTCCTATATGATGCAGATCACTTCCCTGTGGATAACTGACACTAGAGATGTCTACATTCCGAAAGGAATCCCCTAAACCCTATGTATTTTAGTGTGTTTTTGAGATATGGTCTCCAGAAGGTACTAATATGAGAATACAACTCAAGAGACCAAAATCCTTGCAAGGCAGCATGAGAGCATCAAGAGGACGAGAAGAGTGAGGGGGTTGTGGCAGGAAAGCATGTGGAGGCCCTGCAGTCAGATTTCCCCTAGGAACCCATCAGGCAAGGAACTGGCTACTGAAGCAGCAGCCATGGGGATATTTGGTTTTGAAAGTAAATGCCAACCCAACAGACCAGTGTGTAGAAGTAAAAAAGGTTATCTTATAAGCAGCTATGGAAGTTAACTCTAGCCAATTATCTCACCAGGCTCACTGGGAAGATGGGCTATTGCCTCAGATAAATCTGGTTCCCAATTTCCAAAGCAAAGGCATTTTTCTAAGGCTGCACGTCCTACAGAGATAAAATCTGGGCTGGGGAAATCAAGAATTATCAACAGTTTGAGCAACAAGAAAAGTGACTTTGGAGAAATCTATTGTTTACCTTTCTACAAATGAGCTACAGACATTTAATTCAAATTCTTCATAAAAAGAAATAAAGAACAAAAGCTTAGAAAAATTAGCTTGAATTCACATAGAATGAAATCTTTTTATGAAAATCTGACTCTTATTTTCATAAGTTTAATGCGCAAATTTTCATACTTTGAAGCATAATACTAACACTATGTTCAAATTCAGTGACATTTTATGACAAATTTTAGCATATGGGTGAAGTTACAGATTTATTCATGAAACCCTAGGTAACCATCTAGATTTCTCTCAGTATAATCAGAAAGACTTTTTGTAAAGTTTTACACTACATGTATCAGAGCTAACTAGGAAATACATTGCTTTGTTTACCTGATGCTTCACTTTCTGCCCAGAGAGCTGCAGATCCGGATAAAGTTCGCTGAAGCTGCCCTCGGTTTCCTTGCTTGGACTGAAGGTGGTCAATGAGAAATGGGATGGGCTGGTCAGGTGTCTCAGTTATTAATTTGGTCATTAATTCCTGAAGGCAGAATAGACAATACATTTACATCTAACAATTATAACGAACACTTACTCAGCAGTTACTATTGCCAGATGCTTGTTCTAGCTGCTTTATAATACAGCAACTAATTTAATCCTTTTAAAAGCAATCTTTTCAGGCGGGTACACGTTACTGTCCTCATTTTGAGGAAACTCTAGTGCAGAAAAGTAAGTTGTCTATGTTACATAGCTGACACACGGCAAAGTCAAGATATATATATATTATTCTACTTGGTAAAGACATATTAGAAATTTAATCTAAACTCTTTTTAAAACCATAGCCTAAGAATTTAAATTTCAAATTAGCATTTGGAGAGATGGCATGATAAACCCAGCTTTCCATAAACCTCACTATATACTTCATATACCAATAATATTTTTTCTTCCTAACTGTATATAAATATCACAAATGAAAAACACTTATTTGGAATAAAATAAATGAGTAACAAGTCACAGAATCACAGAAAACAAAAAGTGTCTGAAACTGGCCTACAGACACTGCAGAATTTTCTTTCTCCAGAAGTCTTGATGGGTATTCGCTCTTTCTTCTTTTTTCTTTTCTTTTTTTAACCAGTTAAGCAACGGAGATGTCTCCATCGGCCAGACAGGCTGTTCCATTGTTGGACTGCCAATGAAGCCTTACACTGGGCAGAAATCTGGCTAAGGGTAATAGCTACACGTTGTTTTCTTTCCTGTCAGGAACAGCAAAGAGCGAGCTCCAACGTGTGGTCGGTTACACTCCCCAGCCTGCTCTCCTATGAACAGCTGCCAACCCACACGGACACACTGAGCAATGGGGTTTGTCACTCACATGCACCATTTTACATTCACATCAGTCACATTTCCTATTGTTGGTTTCAGCCCATCATCTCAGTCTGTTGAGGATCAATTTAAGTTCAGAATTTGTAAGAGGCAGTGGTTCTTGTGAGTAGACCCAACAATGAGGTATCAGAGTGCTAACAGAAGGGGCACTAGAAATTTCCCACCTTGTTGTGTGTGGTTTTTTTGTTGTTGTTTGTCCATAGCCTATTTCCTCTGCCTTGAACGCCCTTCGCTCAGATGTTGAGATGGCGAGCTTGTACGCATGCATCTCTAATGAGAGCTTCTTAGACACCAATCTTCATAAATCATAAATATTTACCACTTCCTTATTTTATTTTCTTCGCATCATTCATTTCTCCTGAATCATCTCATTGAATAGTTGTTCACCTGTTGGTGCTTGTCTCTTCTCCTCCCTCCCAGAGCACTAAGAGGAAGGACTGCCTGGTCTGATCTATACTCTCTCCCTAGGGCTGGAACTCTACTGCTCATAGGTGGTGTTGAATGACTGACTGAATGAATGAATGACTGCTAAGTTTACTGACCCCAGCTAAATAGTAGTTTAATTAAAGTGCCTAACTGCCCTGGTAAACAGTATTTCAAGCATTCATAGATTTCTTAGCCCAGAAAAATACACTATTCTGACTTCATATAAAAGAAACTGCTGTCATGATACCTCAGGGATATGAACTGACATTTCTAACAGTGTAGGGACACACAGATTTATCGGACTAGAGGCAAAGGATTGTGTAGATGACAAGCTTCCAATGTGATCTCACAGACATAGATAAAGCCATTCAAGGAATCTCAAAAATGTGCAGACTAAATGGAGGAGTAAAAGGAGCAAAGGAATCCCACCTTAAGTATACCATGAAGCAACCTATCACACAAATGTAATACTTTTAATATTCTAAAAACAGATAAGTAAGCAAACAGCTAACACAGGTCTTCTTTATTTATATTATTTAAAATAGTGATCACTGAATTATGATCATAGCTCTATTGTGGTAAAACAATGCAGGGCTCAATTAGAGAGATCATTGCTCTATTGTGGTAAAACAATGCAGGGCTCGATTAAACCCCAGTTATGGATCAGTGGAATGCAATTTAAAGCATTTTGGATCTTGTTTTTGTAGAAGAGATGGATTATGTTCTATTTAAATTCATTGTACATTACAAAAGCTATGAAAAAATGAAGAAAAAGATAAATAGTAGGACTGACTAGATTATTCTTGTCACATAAGGCCTGAGCATTCATATAAAGCAACATTAGATTAATAAGAATTTTAATACCACAGCAATTTCTATCCAGAAACTTCTTAAGATCTGATGCATTTTTTTTAACCTTTCAAATTGGATGGAAAGTTTCTGTGGCTATGTTTTTTCTTTTAAAATAAACTGAAGGGGCCCTGGCCGGTTTGGCTCAGTGGATAGAGTGTTGGCCTGCAGACTGAAGGGTCCCAGGTTCGATTCCAGTCAAGGGCATGTACCTTGGTTGCAGGCACATTCCCAATGGGGAGTGTGCAGGAGGCAGTTCATCAATGTTTCTCTCTCATCAATGTTTCTAGCTCTCTATCCCTTTCCCTTCCTCTCTGTAAAAAAAAAAAATCAATAAAATATATTTTTTAAAAATAAAAAAATAAACTGAAAGGTTCTTATACTGTCTTTAGCAGATAGCTCATACAGTCATAATAAACCAAATAATCACTGTTAAATATTTTATCATCAGTCTAGTAACTAATTTTGGATATCCTTATATCCCATTTACAAATATATGAGATTAAAGAAAGGATACATTTGGTTATAAGCAAAATGAAATAGTTATTGTTTGCAATACCCTATGTTGGGCATCATGGTTGGGTCAGAGTCTAATTTATGAATGCTGTTCACCCCTGAACAACATGGGTTTGAACTGCTTAGGTCAAGTTATATACATAACGTCTTCAAAACAGCAGTAAGTTTTGTGGAGTCAAAAGTTATATGGGGATTTTTGACTGGAGGGGATGCCTCTAGCCCCCACATTGCTCAAGGGTCAACTGTATTGTATTTATAAGAGGAATTATTCTGCCTCTCACCCAATCCAGAAACCTCTTTCCTGAATGTGAATATTTAACTCCTGAGGTTTGCAAAGTTGCTCCCCACAATAAAAGGATCGGTTTTGCCCCCACAAGGATTCATACAGAGACAGAACAGGGGGCTGACAGACTGAGGTGAGGCATCGTGCAGCGGGAATGTCAGGTTGGAGACAGAGACAGGACTGCAGAAAGTTCCACAGCCTTATCGTTCTCCATAAGTAAAAAGTATCCTAGAACAGCAAGCCAGGGTCCAGGAGGGAGGCTGATCGCCGTGAGGAAAACGTCCTGTGCTTACAGTGTAGGGGAGAGGGCTCTTCCACAATTATTACCAGGCGTGAAACAGTGGTGATGGGGCTGTCTGGGTGCCAGAGCCTGGCCAACGTGGACACTTTGCACCTGGCCATCTATCCACTGTGTTGGCAGCGCCGCACACAGACCCACATCCAGATCTAGATTTAAGCACAGGTGCATTATTACTTCCCCCAGAAAGAGGAGACATTATAGCACATCTTAACATATGTCGAAAGGAAGGGATGGGGGGAAAAATATATGAGTTAGTGTGGCAGTGTGTTTTCCTCTCAGGCACATCAGCTGCACAGGGACAGGCATGAAAGAGGTAAGAATCTGTGTTTAGGCAGGGCTGGGGTTTAGCTAATGCGTGCAAATGATCTGAGAGAGGGACTTGTGAGTACCTGCGAAGGAGCAATTACAGTAACTATCTACAGAATTACAACAACTGGCCCCAGAATTTAGGATGGACAGGAAGTGGAGTGAGGGCATCAATGAGATAAGGGAAAATGGAGATATGGTAGGATCCATGAACTGGATGTCCAGGTGGGGGCAAAGGAAAGCGGGAATTGGGATACCAGAGACAGTAAGCTAGAAGGATAGAGGAGACAGTCCAAGAGAAGGATGTCTGAAGTGAGACTAATGAAGAGCCTACAGTTCGTTACCGATAACAGCAATTGGAATGGCTGAAACAGGGTATTAGGTAAAAATCACCGGCTGAGAGGAGTTCATTAAAGACACCAGGATGACAAAATGGCCATCAACGTGTATATGGAAATTCCCAACATGGAATACAGGTGTAGTGTTAGAGAGTGTGGCAAAAATTAGGAGTTAAGTCTATGGAGGAGTCTAGAAGAACCACCCAGCAGTCTGTGGATCAAAATAATAATGGAGGGCAGCGAGCAATGTAACCTGAAGACATGGAGTTAAAAAGGCATTTTAAAAATAGTTCTTAAAACTACCAAGTCTAAAACATTTAAGTACTATTGTTTCCTTTTTATTAGGAATATTTTCCCAGCTAGAAAAAAAACTATACTATTATCATTAAAATCCCAAATTATAAAATAGTGCATGAACATTAACGTTTATATATTCATTTTTCAAAGAAAAATTGTACCAAATACGCAGACCACCAAGTCAATTAACAAAAAAGTTAACAGATAAGGCATTTAATACTAAACTTACATAAACTAAAATCATGGCATTAAGTATAGACAGAAATTCTTAGATAAGCTAAATTTAACAGCATGCTGACATCATGCACTCCCTATGGTTTATGATAAGTAAAAGAGCATATTAATGTCCTCAGTAATTGCTGGAAATTCATTCTAATTTATAGACACCTAACAGCCCCATTATCAGAAGTTATAATCTGAACTTTGTTTATATATGCTTTATATAAGGTTTTGTAGAGTTATATGTGTTTTGATAAAAACATACATCATATGCTTAAAATTAAAATTCCTTGATGAACAATAAACAGAAATCAGTTTCAACAAACCCGCACTGGGTCTGGCTGAGTGCAGTGCAGCTAGTAAACTAAGAGGTGATTTTGAAAGATTCACAATCATTCAGTAAAATGCATTTTCTGCTGAAGCAATGAAAATTGCCAGCTGTTTTCAAGAATGTTTTACGTATGAAATATGCTGTGCATGCTTATATATCTTTATTTAACTAAAACATTTTTTTTTCAACACAAAATTCAGACCACAGATACTATTTGGAAGCCATGTGATTCTGTAACATTTGTGCAACTAGTTAAATATATGTTGGTTTCTAGTATAATATATGGTCTTAT